CTACAACGGTCCGACATGACCCCATAAACTGTCTGCTACATCGGTCTGACACGACCATACCGTGTCTCCTATCCTGTTTTGTTTTTTATTTATCAGTTTACTTTTCTGTTTTGTTACTCTCTTCAAACTCAAGTTGGTTAGTTCCTATCCTCCTTGAGTTTGAGGGGGGCTGTTAATGTACACTAAACCTAACCCACTAACCTAACCCACTACATCCACTCCACTAAACCTAACACACTTACCATCTCCACTACCACCCACCACCTCCACTACCATCCACTACCACCACTCACCTACCTCACACCTCTCCTATATAATAGCTTGTAATATACAAAATCTAAATACAACAATCTTGTAACAACATCAATCAATAATATCAATCAATACATAATTCATTCTCTCTGTTTTTCTCTCTATCATTTTCTCTTACATGGTATCAGAGCTATAGGTTAGCTCTTGGTGATCTTCACCTTCCGGCGGGCGGCAACCTTTCCTTCACCGGCGGGCGGCAGTCTCGCCTTGGCCGCCCGCCGGACCTCTACACATACCTTCTCTCCCGCTGTTTTGATTCGGAGTTAGCAGAAGCATCACATATTGATCCACACACTGCCATACACACAGACACCACAACACACACATGGGCTGAGGGCTCTGGCTTTCTTTCTCTTCAGAAGGAAGCTAGGGCATAGAAAAACACTGCGATTTTCTGTGGGGAAGATCAGCGTCTGCTTCACCGGCCATGATGGAGTTCTTTGTCCATCGTCATTTCCGACCCACTCGACGATCTGGGTCACTCCTTCTGCTGCGTCAGACCCGACCCGAATCATCTTTCTTCCTCCACAGTCCACTCGGAGGAGACCACACTTTCCGATCAATCTCCGGCGCCTCCGTCAGCGCCAACACTTCAACCCCTCTCTCCACAGCCTTCGTCGATCTCTACAGCTACAACAGCTTGGATCGAGCCTCGGCTTTCGAGAGCCGGCAAAAAGGCAACACTGAAAGTACCTCCCAAGCACGGGCCATGCTCTCACCTGAGTCTAGACAAAGCCCATGCCCCAAATGTGACTCAGATCCTCTCCAAAGACCAATCCCGAGTCAACATAATTCACTTTCGCCTTAACTCCAACTCAGCACAAAACAATATACTGAACTCCTCCAAGGTCACCCTCCTGTTCTTGATGAAATCACGATGGCCAGGAGCATCAATGACAGTGCAGTAGTACTTGGTGGTCTCAAACTTCCACAAAGCAACAAGGCCACTCTCCCAGTAAACTCCGGCGCCTCAATCGGCACCGGTAACTTCATCGTCACCGTCGGACTCACCCTCCTCTTCAACACCGGCAGTGACCTCACTTGGACTCAGTGCCAGCCATGTCTCGTCTCGTTCCGACGATCGTCGTAACCCATCATTATAAACCCAGATGGACCAACGTTTTTCTGGGCACCCGCGTAGATCCGGCTTTGAGCAGAAATTGGAAGACACCAGGGTAACCGATACCTTGCTCCAACCAATCCATTTGCAAAGGAGGTGACAAAAAGGGTGGACACTGCTGCAAGTCAATGGAAGGGTTGGAATTGGAGATCGGAGGGTGACTTGTTGCTTAATGGGGCCTATTTCACTCCATCCGGGGCCGGTGCCTCAGCCAGCTATGCTAGAGCTTCACGCCTTGGAGCCAAGTCTTCCTCCATGGTTGGCTCCTTTACTTCTGGTGCCGGTGTTCTTGGCTGCCGCAGAGGCCACTAGTGCTAGCACTCAGTCAAATTATATCGAAAGAAGGAAAAGAGTCTATTTTTAATTTAATCTTTTTATTGAAAAAAAAAAAAAAAAAAAAAAAATTATGGTTAGGCTTCCAATTTTACTATTACACAGCTCTGCTCCATATATCTATCTGTGTTCCACCACCGAAGCCACAATTCTAAAATATTATCCCCACTTAAAATATTATCTCCACTCATCCACACCCCACTTTCCTTTGCTTTATTTTATTTTATTTTTCATCAACCACCCCACACCAGCACTCACTTCCCTCTTTTCTTTATTTGTTTTCCACCCTTTTCCACGGAACGTGAGCCAGCTCTTTTCACTTACTTTTCCCTTTCCACCCATTAAAAAAAAAAAAAAAAAAAAAAAAAAAAAAAAAAAACATTTAAATTTGCACAACAACCCATATTTTATTCATCTCAGGGATAGATAGATTTACAACCACAAAAAAAAAAAAAAAAAAAAAAAAAAAAAAAAAAAAAAAAAAAAACAAAAAAACAAAAAACAACAACAACAACAATCAAACCAACCAAAATAGTCGGCATTTTTTTTTTTCTTCTCTACTCTGCTGCCGGTCTTTTTCTCTTGCCTCCGTCCTGAGAGACCCTTGACGGTGCTACCTCTGTGTTTCCCACTCCACTGGGCACGATCACTCCACCCTGCTCCTCCACTGCCAACATATGGCGGCCCTCCAAATCGGAACATCACGGTGGGCCTTACCGCTTCAGCTCCTTGTTTCTTGTCCTTAGCACGCTTATCTCTGCTCGCCATCCTTATACATGCGTTGGAGCAGAGCCAGCTGGGAGTTTAACTGCTCATCCTCATTTGTCCTACTCTGCAGCCGGTGCGACAGGTTTGTGACCGCCGTCATGGACTCCACACATGCCTTCAAAGTATACTGATTCGCCTCCACATCCGTTTGCACTGCCATTTTTTGCTCCACCGACTGCATCGGGAAGTTCAACGGAGCAACCCAGTGGTGTTTTGTTGAGGTTCACGGGACACCGCCCCAGTTCTCTCTCCTGTGGACTCGTTGAGGTCGGGAAAGAGGGTAAGCAAGCCCGCGGGACGACGAAGCCATTTTTTTCTGGGCACAAGAGTGTTTATAGAGAGTGTTACAGGTATCTTCTCAGCCAAACCTTCCTCAGCAAAACGAAGAGTTTTTCAGAGGATTTTCGCCAATTGTTTGTCTTCGCCTCTGCCTTAGCTCCTGTCTTGGTTAAATAGCCGAGGCAGCCACGCGCATCGCGCGCCTCTTCTCGCCGACAAACTGGCACGCCTTTTCATGGCACGCCTTTTGATGCATTCGGGCACGCCTTTTGATGAACACGCCTTTTGAGGGTGGGGCACACCTTTTGAGGGCTCGATATCTACATCCATGTATATCTTTTTGGGCAGCCTATCTACACACTCATACAAGTGTCTTCTACACCAGTCAGCTTTATCAATCCGTTTGTTTCAACCTCAAATAGGTTCTATCTTCACACCTATTTGAGTTTGAGGGGCGGTTATACACAGTATCATGTTCAAGCCACCTTATGGCGCACTCCCTAAGTCGCCCCCTTGTGCACCACCACAATCTGCTACAACGGTCCGACATGACCCGCGTAAACTGTCCTGCTACATCGTCCGACATGACCCGTAAACTGTATCTACAACGGTCCGACATGACCCCATAAACTGTCCCGACATTGGTCCGACATGACCCCATAAACTGTCCCGACATTTATTCCGGTTAGCTTCTACAAACAACGGTCTGACAACGACACACCAGTGTTGCTACAACGGTCCACCATGACCATAAACTGTCTGCTACATCGGTCCGACACGACACCCATAAACTGTCTGCTACATCGGTCTGACACGACCATACCGTGTCTCCTATCTGTTTTATTATCAGTTTATTTTTCTGTTTTGTGATTCTCTCGAAACGTCAAGTTGGCTATGTGCACTATGCCTCCTTGAGAGTTTGAGGGGCAAGCCTGTTAGTATATACTTATTACTTGTATAGTAGTTGTTAAATTATAGCTTATACACACTTTAGCTTCTAGCTTTATTCTTTTAGCTTTTCACTTTCGGGTGGTGGGTTTGTATCCAATGCACCATTTTCTCTAGTATAGGAGAGTTCATCTCTTTGTATCAACCATACAACTACAGAAAAATACATCAATCGTTGTAATACCAACAAATCAATGACCAACAAATCAATAATACATCATTTATAACATGGTATTCATATCATTATCATTATTAATATGAAAAATGACAAATAAAGTATGATAAAGATGTGATTTTCATAAGATTATTGTCATTTGATAGTTTATAGTCCTTTGTTGTAGTGGAAGAGAATCCTGAAAAAGTAAACATAATCTATCAAACCAACCATAGTAGCAGTAAAGAAAAAGAGAGAAGTTTTGAGATGAAGGAAGAAAGGAAAGAATCTGACTTAAGTATCTAGGGAGACAATGTATGTGTTATTTCACTTTCCATGTGAGGTAGGGAGCAAAAGCAATTGTCTGACTCTGATGAGATGAGACTCTTTTTTGGGGAACTGAATCCAGACACAGTAGAAGGGGAGGGAAGGTCACAAAAGCAATAGGGAAACACAGAGGCATCCATCCTTATTCACCCCAGACATGCTTCCAACACAAACACACACCATTCTGTAACCATGTCTTTTTTCTGGTAGTGTTTGTTGTTGTTAAAAGTTCTAGGGTTCCAGAAATTCCATGTTCTTATGAATAAAAGAAGATAAATCTTACAACGATAAGATTCTAAGACTGTGTTTGGAATATAAATTTAAGTAAAGATTTGAAAAAGAAAAATAAAAAAATGTATGAAATATAATTATATTTCATTCATATTTTATCTATCTTTTTCATTTTTCTTTGTAAATTTCTATCCAAATCTATGATTTTAGCATAACCTAATCAAAACATCATGCTCAATAAAAAAATTCCAAAAAAAAAACCTAATTCCTAAGATGCAACAGGATCTCCAATGCTAGTAAGCATTTTACCTATATCTAAACATTACTATAAAGTTTACATTTTACTTTGTCTATCAATTATTTTATGTTTCTACTCCAACCATACTCTTTATTTTAGCTATTTAATCAAATACTATTAACTTTATAGAATGCACATTAATAATAAAGATGAAGGGAAATGATCCTGATGATTAAATACATTTTTCCTAACCTTCGAAGGCTAACTACATGTAGCTAATAAATGGGAGTTGAGCTAAAATGCTTAATTATATAACTAGTGCATTGGAGTTGAAAAAAATGAATTATATTAGGTATTTTAACTAACAAACATATATGCCTAATAAATTGGAGATACTTATGTTTAGATGATAGATTTGGATTGGGATTCATTTTCTAAATTCTTATTTAATTTCATACATGAATCACAGTGTTAATCATTTTCTAATTTCTTACTTACGCTATGTTTGGAAACTTAGGAGAGAAAAGAAAAGAAATGATTACTTAAGTAATAAGAGAAAAGAAAAGAAAAGAAATGATTGTAATTTTTCTCCTTTTTGTTTGGATAAGTAAGAAATAAAAGAAAAGAAATGATTGTGATTGCTCTCCTTCTTGTTTGGTTAGATTTCATTAAGAGAAAAGAAAAGAAATTATTTTATGTTATATTACCAAAATAACCTTTTTATATTTTCAATCATTTTATTTCTTTTATTTTTATAGGGGTAAAATTGGTATTATGAAAATATAAACATTTGTGGATTTCTTTTCTCTCCCAATCTCTCCACTTTTGGGAAGATTGAAAATAAGGGTTATGAGAGAAATGAGTTTCTCTCCATTTCTCTCTATTTCTTCTCATTTCTCTCCACTTAAGATAACCAAACAAGAAAGAGAAATACATTTCTCTCTATTTCTTTTCTTTTCTCTCCAAATCACTCAATCCAAACACATTGTTAATTTCATAGATGAATCACAGTATTAATCTTCGAAGGAAAATGTTATAAATTTCAAATTTCTTATCAAATAAATAACTAAGCATTTCATATAAGTATGGGTTCTATAAAATTACAGATTTCACACCTATATGAGATAACTAACCATTTATTTAATAAAAAATTTAATATTTATAGTATTATCCATCGTCAAATGAGCACACATTTCACCTACCTATAAAGTGACACCACATTGGTTCAGTGGTGCCAACTTAATAACCCACATTTAATGACCTATCAGAAACAATAGACAAATCAATCAAAAGCACACTCATTTTTTTGAACAATTAATGCTACAAATCTCATGAGAAAAAATCAATCCCTTTGCTGGTTTACATTTTTTTTTTTTTTGATTTTTTTTTCCCTTACTTTTAGTATTTTTTGATTTTTGCTGAATTTTTTAAGTAATTTGTAGACACACTTAACATAAATATACTTAAAAAATATAATTTTTCTGAAAAAAAAATCTTTAAAAAATTTACTAAATACCAAAAATATAAAAATTCAATATATTTTTCGTATTTTTGTGTATTTATTAATTTTTAAAAATATTTTTTCACAAATATTTTACTTTTTAGATACATTTAAATAAGGTGCATCTAAAAAAATTAAAAAAATACTTAAAATTTTTAAAATATTTATTAAAAAAATACAAAAAATAAAAATTTTAATTTTTAAAAAATTAAATTCAAAAAACTGAAACCAAACACGCTGAATAAAACTCTTAAAATTTCACATTACTGATCAAGATTCTAAATAGAATGTGACCTCCCAATAATATCTTTCAATACATATTATTGATTTGAAATCCATACCAATATTCTCAATATTTTATCTGGTATCATAGACTTTTTATT